GAAACCCTGGAGCTGGGAGAACACATAGAAGCCCACCAGCCTTCTCCTATTCTTCCAGAACACCAAGGAAAAACTGCCTGGGGGGATAACTGCATGTGGGCTCAGTCTCCCCTGCTCCTCTGATATCTGTCCTCATATCTCATACTATATACCTGCCGACATATTCAGTTACTAGCGGGCTGTAAAATCAGTTCTAGTGCTCGGAGTTGGTTTTGACAGTAATACCTGATATAGCATCCTAGGTCTAGAAGGGACTTTGGTTGTCTTCTATTCTATTCATTTTCTCCCACACCAGAAACATCTCTACAGCAGATGTAGCCGAAGCCAAGAGAAGTCCCACCATCACCACTAGCAAAGACAAAGGCAATCAAGTGATTTGGTTGTCTCCCTTTCCCCACCCCTTCCAAGACCAAGTCAGAAGTCACCAGCCCTTCTGCTGCCACCTAGTGACAACAGCCAGCAATTTACAGTTTTTAGGGGACGTTTTAACCACATTCTAAAAGCAAGCTTGCAATTTTCTTCTAATGCTCTATTTCTACTAAAATTAAAAACCCATTTAAGTGTGTAAAAAATTGAAATATATGACCTGTAAGAAATTGGTCTTCACTTTGAAAACCTCAAAAATTGAATGTTAGGAGAAAGGGGAAGAATACTGGGAAGGTTTAGATGGGATGGCGATAGTGGGGGGCAGGAGGGCAGAGCAAGGATAAAGAGCACTAGGAAGTTTGAGAAAGATTTATGGAAGATTACTGTATCAGTAGGGTTCTCCGGAGGGACAAAAACTGATCTTTATACTAGAGTGGCGTCCAGATTGTCGTCCTTCAACAATGGCTGACAGAAAGTCCAAAAATCCAATAACCATTTGGCCCAGAAGACTGGACACCTCAGATGGTCTTCCACATACACTGGAATCTGGAAAAAGTAGGCTTTACTACCAGTGAAGGGATGAATTTGCCAACAAGAGAAAGCAAGCAGGCAAAGAGCAAGAGCTTCCTCTTCCATGTCCTTTACATAGGTGCCATCAGGTGTGGCCCAGATTTAGGATGGGTGTCCTCACCTTGAATGATCTAACCAAAAAAAATTTCTCTCCATTATACCCAGCACCTTGGGTTTTCATCAATTCCAGATATAGGCAAGTAGACAAACAAAAAGAGCCATCACAGCTACTATATTATGGAATGTGTGTTTGTGTGTGTGTGTGTTTACTAGGCATTATGCTTAAAAAATGTTTCCATTTGGAAATTTCTACCTGGCTTTACTTTTAATCAGCTGAAATTTCACATGTAATCATGTGTGATTTTCCTGGCCATCTGGGACAGCTAGAAGATCTGCTTTCTGTGTGACAATTCCAACTTCTGGATAATTGTGGGACTGACACACCTTGTCCTTTTCATTGAGACTGTTCAGCCTTCCATATGCCAAATGAGTGTGGACCGTGTCATGGACACTGTGACTATAACCTTGTATGTGTTGTGGATGTTGTGACTATAACCCTGTATGACCTCTGTTCTTGGAAACTTTCATGTGGAGTACTGTTTTAGCAAGTGACCCAGACAACAGTTCCATTCTTGACTTCCTGTGAGTGGTGGAGACAGTCCCACTCTGACTTCCTGTGAGTGGTGGTGACAGTCACACTGTGACTTCCTGTGAGTGGTGGTGATGGTCCCACTGTAATTTCTGTGAGTGGTGGTGATGGTCCCACTGTGACTTCCTGTGAATGGTGGTGACGGTCCCACTGTGACTTCCTGTGAGTGGTGGTGATGGTCCCACTGTGATTTTCCAAGGTTTTGCTACATTTGTTTGTATCTGTCCTATGCATGAACCTGAGACTTGAAGTTCAAGCACAGAATCAAGGAGAATTCTTTCTTTAAAAAAAAGAAGACTCATTTTTATGTATATAGATGTTTAGCCTGCATGAATGTCTGTGCACCACATGTGTGACTGCTTGGATATCCTGGAACTGAAGTTACAGGTGGGTATGAGCTGCCATATGGCTGCTGGGAACGAAACCTGAATCCTCTGGAAGAGCAGTCAGTGTGCTTCCACTAAGCTCTCTCTCAGTCTAGAATACTCTTTCTTAGCTTTAGGACTTTCTTCTCACTTTAACCCTCAGGGAGCCCTTCACCTGGACAGAGACCTTTTTGTCGTTGTCATTTGTTTTCTTGGACTTATGTTTAGCTGGCCCCATCATAGCCACAACAGCGTCCACCAAACAGAGCTCTTCTTTGGGCGCAAGAATCTCCTCCTCACGAGAGGAGCCAACAGTGTTGTATTTCCCAGCCAGGAAAAGCTGCTTTCTGCATTTGGGTGGCTTTTTATAATCTGCTTTTAAAAAATTCATTTATACATATGGATGTGTACTATATATGTTCCTGGTACCTACAGAGGCAAAAAGGGTACATCGGGCCTCCTAGAACTGTAATTACAGAAAGGTTATGAGCTATGTGGCTGCTGGGAACTGAACCTGGATCCTCTGGAAGAGCAGCCATGTCTTTTAATCACTGAGCCATCTCTCCAGCCCCTCCTAATCCACTCCTAATTTAAGGATTATAACAAAGTCTCTTTCCACACGTTGTACAGAGGTTTTGTACTGAGCAGGAGCCTTGAACAATAGTTGGCTCCTGGGGTGTGGTGGTCCTGGACTCTTCCTGGCTTCTTAGTTGACTTTTTAGCACTTCCTAGTCATTTCACTCCAGGAAAGCTCCACTCTTCCCGTTTTAGGATCTCAGCCTGTGAAGACAGCAGTAGCAATCTCATCTTTGGTCCCTGGCATCATTTTCAAGGGATAAAATATGATGGGCATCAGGCACTAGTAACTTGTCAATAATCATAATGGTTATTTCTGTTTACAATTTCATAAAGCTGAACAATGCAGACTAAGATTATCAGAATAAAAAAATCAAAATTTAAAATACTTTCAGGTTTTGACCCTATAGCTACCTAGAACCTAATTGCTGAAAGAAAGACAAAAAACTAGCAATATTTTAGCAAGCAAAATATGCTATTGCTGTTTTTTATCTGTGACACACCGGCTGCACCTGAACCTACCACTCCCTCAACTGTTGACTAGGAATCTGCAGCCACTGCCACCTCTCTGCTGAGGACGCTGCCCCAGGGAGCCTTCCTGTCCCACACTGCTGCCCCAGCCACCTCCACATAGGGAGGAAAATGTCATTTTTGACTAAGTCTCCCTCTTTTTATCTTACCAATGAAGTCTCAAGAGTCAGATGCTGGGGTGAAAACCTGCAAGCTCAGAGAAGCAGAAAAAGAAGCTGGCTAACTTTTCTCCTCTGCCATGTTTCATAAAGAGGGCTTTCTTCAACACCATCTGAAACAAACTCCTTCAACTGGATGTCCCTTTCTTCTACTTCCTCTCTCTCTCTCTCTCTCTCTCTCTCTCTCTCTCTCTCTCTCTCTCTGACCCATCAACTTCTTTTTACTCTTTCTGATTCCTTCCAGTCAACTGGTTGCTTGCTCTGCCTCTGGACCTACATTTGATTTTATTTAAATAATGAGATCTTAGGGTTCAGAGTGTGATCAAATATCCAGCAACATTCAATCCCAGTTTTGTGGGCTCCAACTAGCTCATCAAAGGCATTATCAAGTGAAGTGGATGGCATTTATTGTGACGCGCTTCCTGACCAGCAGGAATGGACGACCACAAAATCAAGAATCCTTCTCAATCACAATTTATTAGAGCTCCTTGATTGAAAGGGGGAATGGGGAAAAGGGATGAGAGAGAGAGAGCGAAAAACCCAAAGACAGCTGCTTTTCTAGGGTGAGAGGCTCGAATGCTGATTCGTTGATGCCATTCTGCTAGGGCCCAAGGCCACAGGGCAGGTCAGGAAGCCGAGTCTCTGAAATGCAAACAAGGCTCCAAGCAAACTGGCCTGGACGGCAGCAACAAAGGATTTGTATTTGTATAGTCCTCCAGGCTGTAGGACTATCTCGCCAAGGCGACATCCTGGCGGCTCCCTACAATTTATGAAACTGTCAAGTTAGAAGGCTAGGCAGCTCATCGTTGCCTCACAAAACACTGCACTAAAGAATGAGGACTGTAAAGCCAACGAGGAACATTGCTTTTCTGAAGAAATGACCCATTGTTCCTGTCTTACATCTTCAATAAATTGTGTAGGTGTGTGTTGGGGAAGTGGTGGTATGGTGGTTTGAATAAGAAATGCTCCCATAGGCATACATTAGGAAGTATGGCTTTGTTGGAGTAGGTGCGCTCCTCATTGGAGGAATTATTTCACTGGGGGAGGGCTTTGAGGTTTCATGTTTCTTTCTCTCTCTTCCTGATGGCTGCAGATTTGGATATAGAACTCTCAGCTACTTCTCTAGCATCATGTCTACTTGTATGCCATTATGCTTCCTGCCAATGATGACAATGGACTAAACCACTGAACTATAAGCCAGCCTCAATTAAATGCTTTCCTTTATAAGAGTTGCTGTGGTCATGGTGTCTCTTCACAGCAATTGAAACCCTAACAAGACAAGAGGCATTGAAACTTATTTTTCTCTTTTGCCAGATGGTTGAAAAAGAAAATGAAATTCAAAGAATACCTCAAGGTGGTGATCCAAAGACTAACGGTGTTTGGCCCAATTTACTCAGTCACCATGTGTGAATGATAAACTGCTACCATGGTGTCAGAGACATGATCTCAGCATGTAAGGATGTAGACATCTTTCAGAACAGGTCCCTGTTGTGGGACAATAATTTTTTTTTTATCCTGTCATTGGTATTATTTTTAATAAAATGCTGATGGGCCTGTATCCAGGCAAGAAGTATAGGCAGGACAACAGCAACCAGGCAGGAAGTAGAGGCGGGGCAATGAGAATTCTGGGAAGAGGGAAGTTTGAGTCTGCAGTCGTGATCCAGACACAGAGAAAACAAGATGTGACTGCCTTGCTGAAATAGGTACCAAGCCACATGGCTAACACAGACAAGAATTATGGGTTAATATAAGTTGTAAGAATCAGTTAATAAAATGAGTCTGAGATACTAGGCCGATCAGTTTATAATTGATGTAGACCTCTGTGTCATTTCTTTGGGACTTAACGGCTGCAGGATCAGGTGGACTGAAACCTCGGTAAACAGGGCCCCAAATACACTGTCTTAGGGTTCATACATTTGTGTCAAGAGATGTAAGACTTTCTATTGGAAAAACCTACATGAACTCTTCAGGCTTTATGTAAGAAAGTTTTTCTTTGTCAGCGCTGTGATATCTTCTCATCTTAATTGCTGTGTTGTAAGTCAAGAAAAAGGCGCAGTGGAGGGTGTTGTTCATATACCAGAAACCGGAAAACACAGAAGGCACATCCTTCCTTTGAGAAGTCTAACTTCTGTCATGGGCTTCACAGCTTTGATTTTCTGGATAAGAAGCTCTTGATAGCGTTGATGTATTCCTCTGACAGCACCATTGCTTTGAGGGTAGTGCACTCTTCAGCATTAACAGCGTGGAGCTTTTCTTTCTCATTTTTTCTGATTAACTGTTTGGAAATTCTCATGGACTGATGAAACAAAACCAGCAATAAGTTATTCCAACAAGAACAGGATCAATTCATTCATGCCATCCACTATAATGAACTGATCCTGTTAGATTTTGCTAAGATAAATATATACATAAAATATGCTTTACCTTTAAGGTACACAGAGATGACTCTAAGCAGCCCTAGATGGATACAAACCTTGTGGTTCCATGATCACATACTCAACAGTAAAGACGTAAGGACAATCAGCTATGAGCAATTACCTATACAAACTGGTGTTCTATAAAGTAGGGTCCCCTAAATATATTCAATCTCTTCACCTTCCACCTGAATCCCAAAGTAAAAAAACTGGGTGTCTACTGGCATCCTCATGTAGTCATCACCATAAAGAATTATCATTTGATCTTGTAGCATGGAAATGAAATATCTATCTGGTTAGTTCTTTGTAAAAAAAAATCACTATTCCCAAAATCATAGTAATTTTAACAAAATCCAAAGGGGCTTCAAGCCAACTGAAGACATGATTTGTCTTCTTAGGATGTGTCCTCCTAAGATACCTTTTCCCCTTGGGAAATGATCTTCACATCCCCACAAGTAAAGGTCAAATACTAACGTTTGGTGGGAGCTTCGCATATTCTTTCAGCCTAGTCCAGATTTCTTTCTCAAAAGTGTTGTCAGGAAAAACTTCAGTGACGAGGCCTTGAGCACAGGCCTCTCTTGCTGTGAGCTTCTTCCCAAAGAGAAGCATCTCAGCTGCCTGCAATGGAAAACAAGATGCAACCACAGCTTAATATAGCAAGGCTTCAGCTGACTTCAGAACGGCCAGCTACTGGAAGATGCAGATGTACTCATGGCTTTTAAGGTTATCTGTCTTTACCAGGATTGGGGAAGACAATGACCACGCTGGACAAAGGTTTTCAAACAGCTGAGACCATAACTGTTTCTGACTCCCTAGAATTTAGAACGGCAGGTGCTTTTGTGAGGATCTGCAATGGAGAGGCAAGAATGGGAAGCCCAGGACCTAAGCCCATAGTTGGTGTAGGAGGTCCTTCTGTGTATGTGTAGCTTTTAATGGCTATTGACTAAAGAAACTGTCTTGGGCCTGTGCAGGAAATAGATGTAGGCTGGGAGAACAAAACTGAATGCTGTGAGAAAAAAGGGCTTAGTCAGAAGAGAATCCATGGAATAGCCACCAGAGACAGACATGCTGAAACTTTGCTGGTAGGCCATAACCTTGTGGTGATGCACAGATTAATGGAGATGGGTTACTAAACATGTAAGAGTTAGTCAATAAGAAGCTAGAGCTAATGGGCCAAGCAGTGATTTAGATAATATAGTATCTGTGTGATTATTTCGGGACTCTGAGAAGCAGGAAAAAATGAGCAGCCCTCCTTGCAACACCTCATAGCTATTAAGCTCTGTAAATGATAACAAAACAGAGCAGGGTAGAACAACCGCATCTATAGGGTCCACCTCTGAGGTATTCAGAATCCATTCCCTTCCTGGTTGCTGTAATGGTTGAATCTGAATGTCTTCTTCCCCTGCACAGATACTCAGATTACTTCAGTGTGGATGAAGGGACATGAGGATAGCTTACATTGCACGTCTATAAAAACTGAAGCCAGTGAGCAAATGTTCTTTCTATAGTTGCATTTTCTCTTCAAAAAACATGAACAAATTCCAAAGGTCTAACTTTTAAGAACTGGTTCTGCTCAATATTCAAAGTTTAACTGATTAATAACTCTGTGACAGCACCACGGTGAGGTTAAAGATTGTATTCATGTGTACAATCTATGTATGCATGTGGGGATATCCACAGCAAATAATCTAATAGTCACAGAATAGGTTCCCTCACCATACTGAGATGGCACCAATGTCTGCTAAGCCCTTCCCTCTGTCCTTCTCCAGTCCTATCTTCGTGTCCTTGGCGTTTCTCCATGGAGGACAAGTAGATTTGCACAAACACAGAGCTAGGTAGATCTGAGCAAGCAGTGGGCTACCTTGGGCATCTCAATACATAGCATAATAACTGGTAAAAGGTAGCTCTGAGTGGGAGTCACAGTGATTATGATTATGGAGCTGCTAAAAGCTGGTGACTTCTAGAATTCACGTGGCTCCATAGAGAAGATGTCACCATGTCATTTCAAGGGATGTTTCCCATCCATACAGTTAGGTGGTTCTGAGCTGATCACATCTGTAAATGTTTCCTAGTCCCGGGCCTTCAGGGAATGTCATGCAGCTGTGGAGGACAAGGTCTTCTGCTGCCACCAGTGCTCCAGCTCTAGGTCATCAGCTGTCAGACACGGTCCCTGCATCAGGAACTGCAGAGCAAATATCCTGACCCTTCCCTTACATCAGATCTCCTCTTAGCCTGGGTTTTCCACATTGCAGAGCACACAGTCATCCTGGAAGCTTTGCCCAAGGGAAAGAAGACAGAGCACAGGATTGCCCTGGCAACAAAGACAACACACTACATTTTAAGTTTTTTCTAAGTTACCTTTGCTGGGCCCATTATCTTCGGAAATGTGTAAGAGGAGCATGCTTCTGGACACTGGCCGAGGGAGGTAAGTGGAGTATGAAATGTTGCCTTGTTGGGATAGAGGAAAAACAGAAAAGCATTAAGATATACAGAGGTTAGTCTATAATTCAACTCTGACAAACTATGTAATTAATATTTAATCTTAAATTTACAATTTGTATTTTTGTGTTTAAGAAACAGTCTGGCCTAGAACTTAACCAGCTCATGCCTCAGCCTCTTGAGTGCAGGGATTAAAGGAATGTATGACTGTGTCTAGCTCAGTGTTCCTAATTGGTGAATACATTTAAATTAAAATTATGTGTTATACTATGCATACAGAATTCCCTTCTAGTGTGTTATCAGTGGGTTTTACAAATATGTAAATTATGTTGCCACCAATAATTTTAGCTGAGAAAATATTTAGTACACCAAAAGTCCCCTTATGGCCCACTGTGGGCAAGCCCTTCCTTCTACCATTACCACACATCACTATCTATTCTCTATTCCTGCTGTTCCCTCCACACCCCCATTTTTTAGAAGCTTATATGCATGGAATCCTATATATAATAGACCTTTGTTCATTGCTCCTGTCCCTTGGCATAAGATTTGGGAGTCACTCATGCACTGCACATTGGTGGCCTCTTTCTCATCATTGATGTTCTTCCCATGTGAACGTGGCATCACTTGTTGGCCTATATGCCAGTTAATGCTTTTACTAATGTTTCCAGAGTTGTGGCCAATATTGGTAAGGTCAGTCATAACCATGGACTTACTTGATATAATATATAAAATTTTCACTTTTCAATAATACCTCAGCTATGCTGAAAAACAAATCCTTTTCAGATTTGTTCTCCTCCAAAAAAGAAGTAGATATGAATACAGTAGCCATGCATCATCACCCCATACTAAGACAGGATAGCCCCACTTTGTCCACACCCTTATTCAGCTTCCCCAGGAGACGTCCTTGTAGCCCACACACATCACTATGAACATAGTGCTGCCTCATGTGTTTTCAGTTCACATGTTAATGGTAGCCTCAGAGTTCAGCTCTTCCAGGCCACCTCAGGGTGCAAGGAAGAAATCCATAAGGAAGCAAAGCTGAGCATATGCTTTCTATTTGAGGGGTAAACACTTATACACACGATCTGAGGGCCATGCTCTTTACTGTTCTGTTGGCTCTAATTCCACTTCTATGGCTTCTTCTATTCTCTTACGTTTTAATTCTCTGTGCCAATTCTCTCTTGCTTCTCAGTTTGCCTAGCTTAAATCCCTATTCTTTTTTTAAACAGGAGGCTTAAGACAAAAAGAACAAAGTTACAAGAATTACATCTCATTGGTCATAGCACATTCCTTAGATAAGGAGACAAGCCATTTACCATGGCACCTCAAGGTTTCAAGGTTCCAGGAGTAAGACTGACATGGGTCTGGGGACACAGTGCCTGGGTGAGACAAGCTGCAGAGAGAGCTGCACAGAGAGTTTGGTTTTATCAGTCAGACTTGGCCTAAGAAGGATTGGCATGGTCTTTTAGGTTGCTTTGTGTTGTCGCTTTGCTTAAACATCTGCAACTCTGACCGTGGCATAGCTGTATAGTTTGTAACTTATGATCCATATACAGAAACAATTAGTCTAGTTTGAACTTGCTCTGAGGTGAAAAATGAGTTACTTTTGGATACTTAGAATAAAAGGAACAGAGCTGACTTGTGTTTTACAGTCCCTGTGGGACAGTGGATCTAGTTATGAAGCATATCCTAGTATATTTTCTATATATCAAAATTACACAGCTTAATGAGAAGTCATCTTCCTGACCACCCATGGATATATGTGCCCATAAGACTGAGATGCAATTGTGGGATTATACATAGATATCATATGAAGTTACACACTTCAGTGCAGGTATTGGGAAGATACCATAGCTGTTTTAGCAAATGTGAAATTACAGATTGGAGAAATACTTTCCAGAGTCAGTTGATCCCATAGGCCCTGCCTGGATGGGATTCTTTCACCATCAGAGAATCATTCCTCCAGTGGGCTGACATCTGAACACTAGTTTTCACCTACTGTATACATCCACGGCACTTGATAATATGGCCTTTATGACAAATGATGTTGAGATTCTTGATGTCTACTTCTGGTTGTGTGTAGAAGCATCTTTGGTAAAGTAACTGTTAACATATTTTGTTGCAAAAGGAACAGCAGGCTGTGTTTCTGCCACCTGGCTAGCTTTACCCAAAATAATTACACAGAAACTGTATTCTTTTAAACACTGACTGGCCCATTACCTGCAGTCCCTTATTGGCTAACTCTCACATATTAATTAACCCATTTCTAATAATGTGTGCAGCATCACAAGTTCGGGGCTTACCAGGAAGATTCTAACCCATGTCCATCTTGGAGAGGAGAGGCATGGCATCTACCTGCCTCTGTTTTCTTCCTCCCACAATTCTGTTCTGTCTTCCCCGCCTACCTATGTTCTGACCTATCAGGCCAAGCAGTTTTCTTTATTAATTAACCAATGAAAGCAACAGATAGATAGAAAATCCACCTACATCAATATTTTCCACTAATTTTGGTTTGTTTGTTCTTTTGTTTTGAGACAGGGTTTCTCTATGTAGCCATTGCTGTACTGGAACTTTCTCTGTAGACCAGGTGGGTCTTGAACTCACCAAGAACCAACTGTCTTTGCCTCCTGAGTGGAGGGATATAAAGTGTGTGCCACCACTACCTGGCAATTCCCACTATTTTAAAAGGTTTATTATTTGCCTTCTTATTTTTGAATTGTAAGAATTCTTATAGACACAGGTTATAAGTAAGTATCATGCAAAGAATTTCTGCTAGTCTATGGATTATCTTTTCTTTTAAATAAAAACAATGTTCTGGAGAAAGGGTCTTTATCAAATGTAGCACAGGCTGCTCTCAAACTTAAAGCAGTTCTCTTGCCTCAGTCTCCTAGAAGAGTGCTGGGATTATAGGTATGAGTGTCGTACCGTCTTGGCCTTTTGGAGGTAGGGATGAGTAAGAGTATGGAAGAACATCTTATGTAGTACAGGCTAGCCTTGTTAGGTAGCTAAAATGACCTTGAGTTCTTGATGGTCTAGTTCTCCTTCTTCCCAAGTCCTAAATTGGATCCCTCTATGATCATATACAGTTTCTTTTTGCATTACAAAAACTTTAAGTTCCTTTTATTTGTTTATGTACATGTATATATGCATGGGAGCATGTACGTTTATATGGATGAAGACCAGAGGTCAATTTGCTGCAGTTCTTTTTCTCTTTCCATTATGTGCAGTGTAGGCATTGAATTTAGGTTGTTGTGTGGACTAGTTTTATATTAACTTGATCAAAGCTAGAGTTACCTGAGGAGACAGAACTGCACTTGAGAAAAAGCTCTCATAAGGTTAGCCTGTAGGCAAGTCTGTAGAGTAATGCCTTGATTGATGATTGATGTGGGAGGGGTAATCCCACAGAGAGTGGTGTCACTCCTTCGCTGATTGTCCTGGGTGGTATGAGAAATCAGGCTGAGCAAGCCATGAAGAGCAGGCTAGTCAGCAGCACTCTTCCATGGTCTCTGCATCAACTCCCGCTGCCTGGTTCTCTCCCTGTTTGAGTTCCTGTCTTGACTTCCTTCAGTGATGGACTGTGATGTGGAACTATAAACCAAATAAACCCTTTCTTCCCAACTTGCTTTGGCATGGGGTTTCATCACAGTAATAAAAAATCTTATGACAGCATAATTAGTAGCAAGTACCTTCACTACCTAAATTCTCTTGCCCAGACCCCAGAGAAGTAGGCTATTTTTAATGCTCTCTTTCATGGTTTAAAGAGCCATTGTGTTTCATTTCTTGTATGGTATTTATTTCTCCTCACTACTAATTTTTGTACTTGATTCTTGATCGATTGCTTTACAGATTGACTTTAAAAATATTCTGGAGTGACTAACTTTTGTTGGAAATATTGTTTTCTCTATCTTCCATTTGTCCCAATTTTGCCCTAGAGATCTTCTGTCTGGCTTCATATTCTAGAGTTACTTTCAGCATTGGTGGTTTAGATGATAAGTATGCTCATTTTTTCTATACTTAAGACAAACATTTTATGAGAAAGGGTTTTATTCCATAGCCCAGATAGGTTAGCCGTGAAGTCATGATAATCTTTCTGCCTCAGCTTTCCAAGGGCTTGTAAGTACAAGCCAACACCCCATCTATTTATGTAGTTTTTGAAGAATAATAAATTTATGAAAAAGGGTCACTGAAATAGGTATACAAATACTTAATTTCTAGTAGTAAGACATAGTAGTTATTTTAATATTTGTGAGAACAGAGATATAGGCAGCATATGAATAAAACCATAAAATACTCTCATTAATGTCCCCCTTCTTTTACCCAGAAACCTTAGTAAGAAAACGCACTTCAGGATTATAATCAGACAATGTAGCTTTAAGAATATAATCAGAAAAGCAGTCATGGCTAAGTTAACATAAATAGGTTCATAGGAATTTGGCAATAAGCAGTTCCTATTTCCAAAGATGGAATGGTGGATACAGTTAAGGGCTGAGGCTCTAGCAATGAACTGATTTAAGGTTTTGGGACAGCCCTTTACCCTCTCTGTGATAGTATTCTCTATCTGTAACTTAGTATGACTTTATAAGGCTGCTGTGTGTATTGTATTAGATGTGTATGTGTATTACGTGTATTAATAGAGTACCTATACACTATGAACATGCAAACATCTATTTGAACAAATTTAAAACTCACTTGGAAACAGTGCATTTGCTGATAAAGAAGCTACTAGCAAATTTAGTTGCAAGCATTTAAGACCAGTATCCATCACAGAAACAGCAGAGTGATAGGCATTTTAATAGGGTTAAATGTAAGCTCTTGTTCAATACAGTATTTGTTTATGAAGTCAATAAAAACCCAGGGAATCTCTTCAGTGGCGAGCCAGGAAACTTTGGCCCCTCCTAAGGAGAAGGCAGCAGAAGAACCTGGGGGCTGGTGGTCTGTAATTCTGGGGTAACCACTAAGATAACTATCATCACATCTGTGTCTACAACAACAAAACTCAGAAACAGCCTAAGGGTTCAGAAGCCAGGCACTGGTGAGATTTGCTAAGCTACAGAAACCAAATGCTTGCACTTGTTTATATCTCAGTGGTGAAATGAGTGATTTTTCTCTAATTAACAAATTCTGTGATGCATATTTAAGGTAGGCATACACACACACACACACACACACATACACACACACACAGTAAAACTCCTGCTTTAGTGAAACCAATAAACTCATATATTCACATCTAGGTATACCAATTATCTATTCATTTGCCAAAGTTCTTGTATAAATTCCACTATGATTGACTATAGTTCTAACACTGCAAATTAGAGGCTTTGGCATCATGTATCTGCGACTATGTATCCTTTGAACTATATGTCCCTAATCCTCCAATCCTCATACATCATCCTATAGATTAGTTGATGTGAGAGTCCCCTCTGTGTGCTGTGATTACAATTAATGAATAAAGAAACTGCCTTGGCCTGTTGGTGGGGCAGAACTTAGGTAGGTGGGGAAAACTAAATGGAATGCTGGGAGAAAGAAGGTGAAATCAGAGACACCATGGGCCCACCACAAGAGTCAGCCATGCTGGTACTTTGCTGGTAAGCCACAACCTCATGATGATGCACATATTAATGGAAATATGTTAAACTAAGATATAAGAGTTAGTCAATAAGAAATGAGAGCTAATGGGCCAAGCAGTGTTTTAATTAATATAGTTTCTGCATGATTACTTCAGGTGTAAGCTAGCCTGGTAGCTAGTAAGAACAAGTGGCTCATTCCTCTGCAACAGATTGGTACCCATGTGGCCAACTAAATCCATGTAAAACCTGAGAGGGCTTGAAAAGGAATTCTAGACAAAAAAAAAAATACCAAGTTTAACACAGTCTTTGCTGTTTGCTGGTGCTTTGCAGCCGCTCCTTTGAGAGATATTTTCCTGATTCAGCCATAGTAGGTAAAAAAGCTGACATGGTGGTTTTAAAATATCAGCTTCCTGGGATGTGCTTCCAGCACAACCTCTGGCTCTTTCAGGAGATGAGCATTTGAGTTGGGTTCGTGAGTAGACTGCTGCAGCTTGCTTAATGGTGGCATGGACCGGCTGTGTGCCTAGAGATGTGGTCCTGTGCATGCCTCTCAGAGGTGGTGAGCAGCTCAACCATGCTGGACTGTGTGGAGGAGCAGGCAGTAACATATATACCATAGTAAAGGCACAGCCTAAGTTTAAGACTGTGAGGAACAAGCAAGCAGTGCCATATATACCCTACTTATATCACAATTTAAGTTTTTAAGAAGCAGTTAGCATTTTAAGAAGTGCTCCTAGACAGTAAAGAATTACAGATTCACAATAGGGCAGATTCAGACATAAAGGACCTCTAAATGGGTCACAGAGTTGGATAAATGTACAGAGGCTTGGAAGAGAGAAGAAAAGAGTATAGAGAGTCATAAAATAAAGTTAATGCTTTTTAAAAAAGGAAAACTCTTTAAAGACACAGAGTACAGATCGTCATAGACTAAAATGAGTAAAGAAAAACAAGCCATGTAAAGATAGAGTATACACAGAGAGTCTGGATTATATATATATTATTGTGTATTCTTTGAATTTTTTGACTGTGAAGAAGCTAAGTATAGAGAAAAATTTCATTATATGGCCTGCTAAGCTAAACCAGCATGTATATTATAAAGGTATTTTGACTTCAGAATTTGGGCCTAAGGATATCGTGCTTTGTAAAAGAGGTTCTTCTTTTATTTTCACAGAAGATGAGAATCTATGGATTGCTTCCAGACTTGTGTGGTTTGATAGGCCTTAGCCCCCTGAAAGGTTGCCATGACACCCTCAAAAAATTACTTTGCCCAACTGCTGACTGAGATGAACCTGTCATACAGGATACACCATGAAAGACCTGATTAACAGTGCCCCCATACAGCAGGAAGCAGTATGGACAGAACTGCACCCATATTCCCAAATATTGTCTATAAATGTTTATTTACATTCAAAGGGGGATATGATAGACATATTGATAATTTGGATCTTGATTTATTGATACAAATTTGAGGTCAATTTTGTTATATGTATATGTATTTCTATCTTGATTAAGTTATTGTGTTTGTATAGCTCATTTAAAAATATGATGTATAATTCAGAAACACAGGCTAATAGATAATCATCAAGCTTGTAGTAATGTTAGCTAGGTTTTCTAGATATATAGAGATATATTTAAGTTAAGTATTCTTTAAATCTTTCAGAGATTTCAGAATATGGCATTTAAAATGTTTAAGAACTTAAGATTTTTCATGACAGTGATACACATCTGCTCCTGGTAGCACTAGTTACTTCAAGAGGAAGATGGGCATTGATGAGGATCCTTAAGGAGTTTGCTAGCCATTTGAGCAAGAAACTGCTCTTGCCTGAACTGCTAGACTGGACATGCAAGATCTGCAGAGAAATGATGTCTGATCTTTCCTAAAGGTGAGATGATCCTTCGGGGTTCCTGCTTCATGAAAGTGTCTGAGAGACATTCTTCAGGATACAGAATAAAGTGACTGACAAACTGCCAATATAGGCAGAACTATCTCTGAAATTTCTTGCTTCATGGAAAAGTCTGCTGGATACTATGGACTTGTAGGCTGAAGATGGATGCCCCAACAGTACAGAAGAATTTAGGGTGACTATCCAGGCAGTGAGATATCTCTGTCAAATCTAGAGTTTTGGAAGCTGCTTACAATGCAAATCCTGTTTACTTAGGTAAAATTATATCCTTTTGGAGTCTCTGATGGAGTTGAAGATGTCATAGTCATAGTTATAGTTTTCATTAGTCAAGATAAAAGATAAAGTAGATACAAATATTGTAAGTGTAATTCTTGCTTGATAATTGTTTTGTTATATGTATTTTTTTTTTACCATGTTAAAGTTAAAGCCTTCTTTTTTATTTAAGCAAAAGAGGGGAGGTGATGTGGGAGTCCTCTGTGTGCTGTGATTACAATTAGTGAATAAAGAAACTGCCTTGGCTGAACTTAGGTAGGTGGGGAAAACTAAACAGAATGCTGGGAGGAAGACGGCAAAGTCAGAGAGACTATGGGGCTACTGTCAGAGTCAGTCATGCTGATACTTTGCTGGTAAGTCATGACCTCATGGTAACGCATAGATTAATGGAAATGGGTTAAATTAAAATATAAGAGTTAGTCAATAAGAAACTAGAGCTAATGGGCCAAGCAGTGTTTTAAATAATATAATTTCTGTGTGATTACTTCAAGTATAAGCAAGTCTGGCAGTTGGAAAGAAGAAGTGGCTCACTCCCCTGTAACAATTAGTTTTTCTTAAATGGTCCTGGAGATCCAGTATCGAGCCTTTCCCTTCTTAGTTTACTGATCAACACATCCATTTACTCTCTCTCTCTGTGTGTGTGTGTGTGTGTGTGTGTGTGTGTGGTTTTATTTATTTATTTATTTAGGTTTTTCAAGACAAAGTTTTGTGGTAGTTTTAACAGCCTGTGCCGGATCTTTGTTTCTTTGTTTTCTTCCTTTTCTTTTTCTTTCTTCCTTTCTCGCTTTCTTTCTTTCTTTCTTTCTTTCTTTCTTTCTTTCTTTCTTTTTTTTGTAGTTTCTATACTTTTGGAAACTTTAAGTTTGGCAATTACAGAAAAACACTATGATTAAAAAAAATAAAGCAAAAATACAAGTTGAGCATGGCAGCATCCACCTTTAATCCTAGCAACTGGGAGGAGAGGTAAGAAAATTTCTGTTGGTTCAAAACCAGCCTGATCTACCTACATTGTGAGTTCCAGGAAAGCTAGTATGACACAATGAAACTCCCTCTTTCTTTCTCTCTCTCTCTCTCTCTCTCTCTCTCTCTCTCTCTCTCTCTCTCACACACACACACACACACACACACACACACACACCACACACACACGCTAAATACAGTGGTGAACACAACACTGAACTATGTTGAGGTCTCAGAATTTCTTAGGCTTTAGTTTCTTTTTCTAAAAAGGAAGGAGAGCAGTGAATGACCAAAGTCCCTTCTTAATCTAGAATCCTAAATACTAGGCTTCCTGAACTAGGAAAAGAGGATCAAGCAATCCTGCAAGCTGTCAGTCATCTCCTGACCATTTTTTAAGTAATATGAAAACTGAAAATTGAACAGCTATGTAGTCTGATTAAAATACAGAACCATTAGAGTTGGGACAATGTTTGCAGTGGCAGTGTTTAGAAAAAATAATTAACAATGATGTAGAACACAAATTGTCAAGTTAGACTGAGTCTTTATGAACTATCTAAATGACTACATTCTACCACTGTCTTGTTTTACTTTCTGTTGCTGTAATAAAACACTAACTAAAAGCAACTTAGGGAGGAAAAGGTTTGTTTGAATTATAGGTTACAGTTCATCATTGAGGGAAGTCAAGGCAAGAACTCAAGAATCAGAGGCAGGAGCCACGGAGAAACAGTGCTTATTGGCTGACTCCTCACAGCTTGCTCAGCCTGCTTTTTTACCACAACCCGAGATTACCTGCACAGTAGTGGTACTGCCCACAGTAGGCGGGCCCTCCCACATCAATCATTAAGCAAGTATATATACCACAAATATGACCATGGCCAATCTGTTAGAGAAAAATTTCCCAGGTGAGTTTCCTAGTTTACAAGTAACTATTTTGTGTCAAGTTGACAAAAAAGTAACCAGCACAACCATTAACTCCTTGTAATATACTGAGGGATAGTTACAATAAAGAATGGAGGTACTCACAGATTGACCTGTGCTTGCACAAGTAGACTTACCTTGTCTGATGCATAGACAGCATCAAACAGTCCCAGAAGGACTACAGGGATTCCTATAGCTGGGCCGTTTACTACTGCAACCAGAGGCTTGGGAAAGTCTATAAAAGTGCTTACAAATTCCCTAAAGAAACGGAAATAAAAAATCATTAAACATCCCGAAGTGGCACCACTAACTATAGAAAGGAATGTATACATCTGATATATCACTCCATAAGGCCACCTATGCTGCTTGGCCCAGGATTCCTATAAACCTAATGGAATATCAGGTCATGGCTCCTAAAGGCTAAGGCCAATTCACATCTTGGGCACTGAATTCAGGACTGTGGGCCAGCTGTGACCTGAGACATCATAACTGCATATCACAGCTCAGGGAGACTGAGAGACTTGTCAGAACTGGGATAGAAAGCTGAAGCCTCAAACCTTCTTCAACAGCTTTCAAGACTACATCCAGTGCACGGCCAGCACCTACAGGCACTGTCTATTCACCCTGCTATGGGAACTGAGACTCCCTCTGCCTTGTCCTCACCATACACTTTCTAGACAACCTCATGAGATTGCAGGATGAAAAGGGGGTTCATTGGAAATCATGATTAATTGCATCAACACAGACAAGTGATCATTTTACTGATGTGGGGGTGGTGAGGAGATGACTCATGGGTTAAAGCATTTGCCACCTAAGTGTGAAGATTGGAGTAGAATTTGGATCCTCAGCACCTCCATTAATTCTGGGTGGGCTTGGAGGCATACCTGCTAGTTGTAAGTCAACTTGACAAAAACTAGAGCCATTTGGGAAAAGAGCCTCTCAGCTGAGAAAGTGCTTTCATATTATTGGGTTATAGGCAAGTCTGTGGTGCATTTTCTCAATTAGTGATTGATGTAGGGGCCCAGACCATTGAGGCTGATTCCACCCCCAGACTGGCAGTCCTAGAAGTTATAAGAAAGCAGGATGAGCAAGCCAGGAGGGAGCAAGCCAGTGAGCAGTACTCCTCCATGGTCTCTGGATTGGTTCCTGCCTTCAGGTTCCTGCAATTCGTTCCTTTGATGATGGACCATCAGGTGCAAATATAAAAGGAATTTCCTCTCCAAGTGTTTTTGGTCCTAGTATTTTATCAGAGCAACAGAAATCGGAACTATGACCAAAAGTAATGAAGAAAATGTCTGATATCAACCTCAGACTCCATATGCACATGTATGCACTTGTACACATATGCTCACAACAAAGACACATGAAGTTGGGGAGAAAAGACTAAACCTCTAGGATCGAAAAAATGTCACTCTTACCTCAGAGCCAAAGGACCCTTCTTCGCTACCTCCTCCATTCCACCAGTGACTCTTGTGAAGTTAGTTAGATCATTCCCACTGCAATAATAGTCACCAGTTCCTGTGAACAGTCAATCAACAGAGCCATGATTCCTTCACATACCAACTCATTCTAGAGCTATGTGCATCTGCTGTGTGCAGGGTTCGGCCAGTCACTAGGAGAACATGTGTGCACCTCATTTACACACTATGGACTTGCAAGACACTGGTGTTAGAGAACCTAAGTAAATGCAGATGGTGTGACAGGAACGTGACAGATGGCCATGTGGTATGACTACGGAGCAGGCTTAGTCTATTGTGGAGTTTAGGGTGGAGCTCACACAAGAAGGGGCAGCTGGACTGAGATCTGAACAATAGGCAAGGCTAGCAGAGATGGAACAGTGCAAATGAGATTCTGTGTCTGTGGTCTCCAGGGTCTACACAACAGCCCGAAAGGAGAGCCCCCAGCGCTGAACCAGAGAAAGAACAGGGTGCAAGGGGCAGGGCTGCTATAGTCAAGATAAGTGGACAAACTGTGTGGGACTGTCTAGATTACAATAAGAACCATTACCTCTATCTTTAGACCCATTGAAGATGTGTGCTTGTTAAAGTGTAGTTTGTTTACAATGAAAAGGTTACGTTTTCATGAGTTTTATTTGAGACATTATCTCAGGGAGCCCAGGTTGGCTTCAAACTCTCCATGTAGCTGAGGAGGACCCTGAGCTGCTGATTTCCTGCCCCTACCTATTGATTGTCGGTATTGAAGTCCTGTGTTACAATACCCCTGCTGGGGATCAAACCCAGGGATTTCTACATGTTAGGCAAGCACTCCATTTCAGGCTACTTCCTTAGCAGCCTTAAATAATTTTGATAACTGTAAATATCAGAGCTTTCCCAGACTAAAAGAAGACACGATGGTTCTTATTTATAGGATAGATGGTCCACAAATCTCTGAAACATGGGGATAGTATCAGGCTCTTCAATATGTATTGTGTATTTATTTTCCAGTTGATCTTCCATACCTTCAAGTTTTACATCTATGGATTCAACCAGCAAAAAATATTTGAGGACCAAAAGAAAAAAATCATATATACTGAATATTTGTGGACTTTTTCCCTTTTGACCGTTCTTTCCTAAACAACGTAATGAATACTGACATAGTATCTTTCTTGTTGGCATTATGACATCCAGAGGGGATTCAAGATATTTGGGATGTGTGACCCTTCTATGCAGATACCACATGATTCTACACAGGTAACATGAGTGTGAACAATACTATTTTGATGAGAGTAGTGAAACTAATTCCCAGAGGCTGCTGAGGGTGACTGTATATGCATACCTGTGAGGAAGTTCAACATAAGATTAGGTAAGATATTTACAGTAACAAACTTTAATAATAATTATATATTAAATAATGAGTTATTTAGAACATACTGTGAATTTTCTAGAAACTCCTACTTATTTCTAGACCCAGGGTGACAACACGTAACTCAAATTTTGGGAGGCAAAACCCCTGAAAGGAACATACAGTTAAGAGGGGCTACTGTACAGACTCCTCAGAATGCTCCAGATACTCTCTCGACCCTGTCATCCCAGCTGCTGGAGGCAGTCATATCCAGACTCCATCAGCCAACAGAGCAGAGCTTCTCTCCAGTCGTAGAGTACTTATGTAAATTAAACTGGGAAATATGCACTCTTGTGTTTTATGAATTTCATTAAGCAATTCTGTAAGAAACATCCATATATCTGCAGGTATCAAGAATTTGTCTTTTCAATGTCGAGCAGAATTCTACAAACAGTAAAAAGTCAACCTGTTTGTGGATGGATGAGTTGTTTTCTGTTGTGGCTCTTGTGAGTCAGACAGCATGAACTTTACTATGTAAGGATGGGACTGACGGCTTATCAGGAGTAATTATCAAAGAGTATATCATGTGGTATATCAAAGGGTATAGCATGTGCACAATAACATGGTCCATTTATAAATCAATCCACTGGAGCGCTGGGAAAGACCTTCAGTCAGCATCAGTTGTCTCCCTAGAAAGAGACTCCCTAAAAAAGAAAGCGAATGAGTCCATGAAAATGGTCTTACCTGTGAAAACGGTTATGGCTGAGTT